ACAAGTCACATAGAAGGCTGCAATTGTGATGACACATTGTTACTCCCAAATGGTGAAAACTAAACTGTTACTGTCCTTTATGTTGCTTATCTTCTTTTCCTTGTGCAATACTGTTGAAAAAAAATCTATTTAAATCTAATGTTCTAGATACTTTTGATGCTGTAATATTCTTGAATAGTAACTTGTAATTATTTCTAATGAACTGTTGAGTATGGTAAAGGCAGGCTAGTGATGTAAACCGCTGCATTCTGGTTTACAGGTTCACTAGGGATGTGGTTGAGAAGCGCCGCACCCTCCTTAACCAACAGAGGGAGACAGAAACACAATCTGAAATTGCTCCAACTGCCCAGAAGAGGAAAGATTTTGTAGACATCCTGTTGTTGACAAAGGTAGGATGGTACTCAACTTTAATAGAAAGCGACTGAAAGAAAATGAGCCGGGCTGAGCCGAGTAGATACCAGGAGGAGGTAGTAGTGGAAAAAGGGAGTGTATAGAGCCATTTTTAATTTAAATACTGCACCGGCTTAAGTGTCTCTTAAATAAGGGTTTGTAACATGTAGATGATTCATAATGAGGAAATGTCAACATAGCCAGACTTTCTCTGCATTAGCTGACTTCACATAATACTAGATGTCAAAATCTCACAGAGGTGAAAAATAAATTACCTGGAGTCATATTTAGTTTACTACTTCGTGCACTTTTGCTGCTGCTGTATATTTCATACAGCTGCACATTAAAGTTAAAACTTTTCATACATTTCAACATTAAAAGTTACTCTGTGTATATATATGTATACACTCATGTTTAAAAATGATTAAATCAACAAGGCACTTTGTTCACATTGTACTACATTAACTGTTTATTAAAACCTCTTTGCAGAAAAATTCAATCTTTCACTTCATTCTACCTGCATGAAGAATGTATCATAGCAAATCTCACAGCAAAATATTAGTTGTTGGATCTCTACATTTTCCCCGTGTGTTTTAGCATGCAGCACAGTTTCTGCTGCTTTGGGAGTAAGACAATATTTAGATGACACATATCTTTGGCCAAATGGAATTCGACTGTAATGATTTCACTGCATATTCTTCGAGCTGGTTGGATATATAGATGTGCTATACAGGCTCACTCTTATGGGCATCTGAGTGGGTGCTGGATAAGTCCTTTTAGTGACCAGTGACTTGTTTTTCTTGGCCTCCGCATATTAATTATCCTGCAGTTTGTGGTGTGTTTTCAGGCAGTTGTATAATAATACCCTTTCCATATGATATGTTCTTGGTTAAGCTTCTGTTCATGGATGTAGTGTTTTAGGCTACATCCAGATGAACAGAATCAACCTTTTGGGATTTAATTAGCTGGATTATTGAGTATGCATCAGTTATTCGCTTCCAGAGCCATTATATTTGAACTATTACTGAGACAGCTCTGAAATAATCATGTAGAACTGATCTATATGTGGAATTCTGTGCAGACAGAGAACCTCCACCAGTCATTAGTGGCCTGGAACAGATGATGGTATGGACCTTCCACACATATGCGTAAACTAAGTGAAAGTGTGTAGGAAGATGGTGTTGGGGACACTTTGAAATTGGCCACAGTGTAGGTAAATAGTTAGAAGTGAAACAGGGCATTTTAACATGCATTACATTTTTGGCACTGCATTAGTTGCAAGATGTCTGTGTGTTGAAGGATGAAGATGGGCAAGGACTAACGGACGAGGAAATGCAGGCTGAGGCCAACACTTTCATGTTTGCAGGTGACATGTTACAGTAACATCTGTGGTCACACATAAAAATTACACCATAGTGGTAACTGCTGCTGTATACTCTAGGATGTCTCTTTAAAGCTGCAGCTCATAGTTTGCTGTCATTATCCTCACACTTTGCAAATCTTCCTTCTTCTTCTGCAGGTCATGACACAACAGCCAGTGCCATCTGCTGGACGCTTTATAATTTAGCACGCCATGAACACTATCAAGAAAAATGCAGACAGGAAGTGATGGACCTGATAGAGGGACGAGATGGACAAGAAATCCAGTGGTCAGAAAATACAAATGCCAGCAACATTATTGGTAGTTTCAGATGTTTACATGTGAATTTTATCTCAGTGTCCTGACATGACTTGATCTTAAGGGAGGATCTGTCCAACCTTCCCTTCACCACCATGTGCATCAAAGAGAGCCTCAGACTCCACTCTCCTGTGCAGGCTGTAACACGGAGTTACACCCAGGACATGGTGCTGCCAGGAAACCGAACAGTCCCAGCGGGTGAGGGGGGAAACTCTCTTTCAAGATTTTCAAATAGACTTAGGAGATTCAAGAGCTGTGTCTTGTCATAAATCATGCTTTAACTTTCATTTTTGAGACAGTACTTTAAGGGATACTATTTAAGGAGAGATTACTATATATTAGTTCCAGTTTTTAATGTCAAGTTACACACTTAATGAGAGAAGCTGATAACGAATAAATGTTGAAGTTGTAAAAGGAAAGTTTAAGCTTTAACTAACTCAACTAATTGTTTCTTGTAAACCAGGTACAATCTGCCTGGTAAGCATTTATGGAACACACCATAACCCCACTGTTTGGACAAACCCACATGTAAGCACTTAGTAAGATCATCTTAATTTTTGATACAAATCTGTCATATTTAATCTTTGTCATTTGCTCTCTAACCAGGAATATGATCCCCAGCGATTTGACCCAAGCAACAAAAAGAGCCAAACCTCTCATGCCTTCATCCCCTTCTCCTCAGGCCCCAGGTTCAGTTTCAGAATTATTCCCAACAGTACAACTAGGAAATGTTTTGGTAGCAAAATAACAAGCATATTTTAACAGGAACTGCATTGGTCAGAAATTCGCCATGGTGGAGCTCCGTGTTGTTGTGGCGTTGACCCTGCTCAGGTTTCGACTGACCCCAGGAGTGAATCCTGAACTCGGGAGCAGCAGAGTTCGCCGTCTCCCCCAACTCGTCCTGCGTGCGGAGGGAGGCCTGTGGCTGCAGCTGGAGCCTCTGAACACGCCCACATAGCAGGAGCAGTCAGATGAATGAGCCAATAAGATGATATAGTAACTTGTGTTTTTGAGAAAAGAGTAAAGAAAAGATCAGCCAGGAAGTGAAACTTAATGCAGTATCTACGTCGATGCCCACTGACAAACGTTATCTATCTGCAGTAACTTTTTGGTGTCTTTATCTAATATAGGCAAATGCAATAATAACCATGCAACTCTTTAATGTACCTCTCAGACCGTAATTAGCAGTTTGGTTTTGAGGTTTCACACATTAATATAAGGGCTGAAATCTTCTTGTCAGAAATCGACATTTAACTGGGCAAATAAAAAAATTATCTTCTTTAACATAAAAAGAAACATAGCATTCACAATTTTGTTTCCTTTCTTACATTTTGGTGGCACAGTTGATCTGTCATAACTTCGATATACTGCAGCTCTATATTTAAGTACTGTTAAGAAAAAAAATAAGTGAATTTCAAAAAAACCTTTTTTTAGATATAAATATACGGCTTTATAGCTTTAACTTTTACCTGCAATATTTTTACATGTGTAAAAATGATTACATTTTAACGATTAATATGATGAAATGTTCCTACAGCACAACTGATCAACCTTAGAGTTGCAGAAAAGTACTGTTATTATAATGTAATTGTCTGTCAATTCTCTTACATGGCAGTCTTATTTAATCATAAAAATTACATACCACCCTTAGAAGTCAAAATGCTCTTAAATACTGTAAAGCTAGCATCTGGGTTTGTAATTACAACAATCTACTGTTCATTGTTGATTCTATCAACTGTTATTGATATAATTTATTATTTATAACTTTATGTAAGAAATCGTGATATTTAATAAATATTTTTTTTCAAAAAGTTATTCCAACCTACAAAGTTTAAAATGACGTTTTATTTAAAAAATTAAAAAATGTTTGGATCTTTAGCCATCAGAATTGTTGTCTTAAGGCCAAGAAAGATGCCAAGCGGATTTATTTTACCAAGTGGATCATCATGGCCTTGCCATATTGGTCCATTTGATTGACCTTTATTATAATTATGAATTTATTTTATTTTCAGTTGCTACAAACGGGACAGAAATGACTGGGGGAAAACGGGACACAAAAAAAATTAAAAAATGTTAATGTTATTAAATGTTATTGGTATTGTAATCACATGCACATGTAATTACATTGCTAACTACAAATCTTATCAAATCAGACTGGATTCCATATAAACACTGAAAGTTACATTTAATATTAGCTTTGTTTGATACTATCATAACAGTGCAGTAATAAGGCATGGTATTTTGATTTTTATATAAACATTTACCTACTTAAACATTATAGAGTTATGAAACTCAGTTTTCCAATGACAGCTTTTAAACACACTTCCTGTGTCTCAACATTTAATCCTTTTTTTAAATCCTGTTTGTCATCCTTCACCAGGTACAAACTCTAAATGGCCTGTTTCCTTTCTCCAAATTTTTTCCTTATTGCTGGCTATTGGATGAAAGTTTTCAATTTCCAATCACATCATTTCAGAACTTGTCGAGGTTGCGCGGCAGAGTACCAGCACTAACACTGCTTCTGTTAAGAACTAAGATACAAAATGTTTTGACTGATTGGCGGCACAATTTTCTCAATATAACCCTTTCACTTCTGATATTTTTCAATAAAAAAAAGTACAAAAATATCGATATTTTTAGTGTTACATAACTGATAGTACTTTAATTATATGAAATTTCAATAGCCATCTGTAAAATAATATTATGATTGATTGCATTTTAATAATGCAAACCTGTAATTTACATGCGATTGTTCATACTCATTACATTTGTATCTATATATAATCTGTATACAATATACATTTCTGAATCTGGCAACTACTGTACAGTAATTATAGTTTTCAAAGATAATTATATCTGCAAAATTCTGCAAAGATTTAACAGAGGAAAAATGTAAAATTACAGATTTTTTTTACAGCGTATACAAGAACTCTATAAGAATTTTGTTTGCGTTTTGTTGATGTGCTGTAAAAAAAACAAAACAGTTTTGCTCTAGCACAGGTTACAAAAATCCCCAGAACACAATACTCCCAGTCCTCCCAGTTCCAGTTTTGTTTTTGGTTTGTGTCCAGATAAATTGACAATGTGAAAAATGCAAGCATGTATTCTGCTTCAAAACGTGTTCATAGCTGTAAGTCCAATAAATCAAAAGACAAACAAAGATTGCTGGAGGAAGAAAGTTTATTCTGCTATATTCAATGTTTTCCAAATTCTTACACTTCCAAAATAAGTCCTTTAATTTCCAGAATTAACTGAACATAGCCACATAATTAACATTTTGATAAATGTTACTGCCAAGTAAAGAGGCATCACTTTCAACTTTAATCCTTCCACGCATCAAGGTGTACAGGTTTTCCATTGTTACACTTTATCACCTGAAGTTTGGTTTCAGTGTACTTGTATGAACAAGGGTTCTTGCTCGATTGTTTACATTTAATAACGTCATACTCTCTGGGGATGAATCCTGTGTTTGTTTTTACACACACAGTCAGAACTGATTCCAAATACTCTTCTTTGATGAAAGTGTTTTTCTCCTTGCATTCATTTCTGCCATTGATGTTTTTCATCATTTGATCACAGGAGCCCTTTCTCACAACGATATGTTTAGTTTTGAGCTTGTCATCAGTTTTACAGAGCACAGCAGGAGAAAACAGCACCAGGAGCAAACAGGCACATTGAAACCTCATGATCCCCTGATAAAGAAAACAGAGCATTTACATTAATATTTCCTCATTCTTGTTACTGGTGTAGTAGATCTGTCATAAATTTGATATAGTGCACATCAACTGGATGACACTGATCACATTTTACTTTGGTTTTATCTGAAAATGTGTAGATTTACAGTAAAACAGTGTTGAGCCTCCATCAAAATGTTTGCGTTTATTTGATGCTCTGTAATAACAGAGCCACAGAGACACTGCTTTTGCTAAATGCAGTTTCACATACAAAAATATCGGTTACCCAGCACTCTACCTTTTTTTGTTTTTGCTTGTAGTTGTTTGGTTAACTCGCAGTGGCTCAGGAATGAGTTGGTAATCTGCAAAGTGGAGCAGAATCAATAATTCAGACTTTGGTATTCAACACACGTCTTTACACCTGTGTGTGAACTTCAGTTAAGATCTCTATCAATGAGTTTCTTTCCTATAATATATGATAAATGAATGTTCTTACCAAACATGAAGTGAAGACTGAAGACCAACAGATATTATATTTTACATTTACAAGTCATAGTTTGCCTTTGTCAGAGCGTAGACTCTGTGCACTTCCGCTTTTATACATAAAAGCACAAACATCTCAGATAATTATTTGCATCACTTTTGCAACCTTCCTGAGACGCTTTAGCACTTCTCTATTTGTGATTAGGAAACAATGCAACTGTCACAACAAATGACCACAACAGCTTGTAGACACAGTTTGCTATTCAAAGCTGGTTTTACATTAAACAAGGTATTCCTGCATGTTTGTCAGCCAAACTGTGACAGCACTTTTTCACAGCACTATATTTATATAACTGATGATTTATACAGTTTGTGCACACTCTGCTAACATATCTGGTGCAACAACAGATGAACTATGATGTGGCGTTTATTGTGTGACTGACAGACTTGTGAAATGTTTTGACAGTTTGCTCATATTTCCGCATTTTAAACAAGAAGACCAGTTGCACTTGTGGCC